ACTACGCAGCAGAATAACGTTTTCTTCTCTTTTTCCATTTGCAAAGTGCATTGAAAATGTCTCCAGGCAGGACTGTCCAATATGTTTGGAGGTGAGCAGCTTCTTTTCATCTCCTGGATAACTGTGTGGCCCTATTTTTGACTCTGTGTATGGATTAATTTTCTTCTCTTTTGCCTTGTATTTGCCTCCAAACAGGATATTCACACATCTCGTGTTGGAGCCCATGTTCTGCCGTGTGGTCACCTTCTTCACAGGTAAAGCAGACACTTGAGCAAGGGAAACACCTGCTGCATCGTGTTGGGTGTTTTTTCAGCAGCCTTCAGTCTGTGTCAGCTGCTTACAGCTGCTTTCTGAGGGACCTGCATTGTGGGGGCAGTCTGTTTCTCCAGGAATTATTTTCTTTAGGGGGATTGTTGTCCTTCTCAGTCGGCTTTGACAGTGTGAAGCTCTCCTGTCACTTGGCCTAGGGATGTTCTTAATTTCTGCCTTGGGGACACCCGTGTGGCTTATTGCCTTTGTGCAGTCCTGGTGCGTTCCCTGTCAGTAATTCAGTTTTTCTTACTGACCTGTGTTTCCTTTTCAGGACATGTTACGACGAAATGCTGAAGGAGTGAGTATTTCCAAACATCTTTCCTCCCAGTATTACCCTAGTCCAAACATATTGTTTCAAGAGCTAAAAATCACAATGCCAATTCTGCACCGACTTAAAGACAGCTCCTAAAGGGATGAGGGGCTAGCTTAGGGGGGAAGAAATACATTTAATTCCCGACTCAGTTTGCCAGAACTTGCTGCTTCGTGCTGTTTGTTTGCCTGGTGCAGCGTGAAACTCGTCCCTACCAATGGACTTGTTTCATGGCCTGCCTTCATCTTCTGGTTGAGACGTGTCCCCCTCTTTCTGCCAGAGGCTACAGGTGTCCTCTGTGCATGCACTCGGCGTTGGACATGACCAGGTACTGGCGCCAGCTGGACACCGAGGTGGCGCAGACTCCCATGCCCAGCGAGTACCAGAACATGATGGTGGAGGTAAGAGGGCAGCCTCGCAGCCTTGCCTGGCTTCCATGAATCTGTGCCTCGGAGTTACTGGCAGTAGAGGGCACTAGGGACTCGTGCTGGATCGGGAATCAGACCAAGGGGTGGGGAATGCTGAGGAGCAGTCGCGTGTGGGGTGTTCATCCCTGCTGTTTATATCCACCCACCGCTGGGGCTGCAGCCTGTCCCTCCCTCTCCTGTGTGCATGCAGATCCTTTGCAACGACTGCAATGCCCGCTCCACGGTGCAGTTCCACCTCCTGGGCATGAAGTGCCAGAGCTGTGAGTCCTACAACACGGCCCAGGACGGGCGGTGCCGGCTCTCCTTGGAGGAGCAGTGACCAGCGGGACGCGCGCGGCGCTGGGCCCTGGGAGAGACTGTTGTGTGAGCAGAGCAGCTCTTGTGCCAGTAAAAATTCCACTATTCCCAGTCCAAGGAGTCCCTTACTGCCAAAGGGAGGAGGCAGGTGAGAGGAGCAGCATGAGGAGATGTGGCAAGCAGCTGACGCAGCAGCAGGAGGAATTTTGGGGCAGCTGAAGGGGAAGGAGGTGGAGGTGCAGCTCTGGGGGAAAATGGGTGCCTTTGAGAGGCCTTGGGGGCTGGTGCTGGTATCCACAGGGCTGTGTGTAAGGACGTGGTGTTTCCTGGGAATGACGTGTGTGCCCACAGGGACAGCGGGCAGGGGTTGCACCTCCAGCCCCCTTCATGCACTGTGACCCGTGTGTACAGAATTCCCTTGAAACAAGGGAACTGCTCTGCCTGCTGGGATGAGCTGGAAGATCCAGGTGCAAAGCCCCCTTTTTTTCCCCTGGGTGCCCATCCTGACTCGCTGCTGTCGCTTTTTCCCCTGTTTCTGCCTCATTTTGCACTGTCCACTGGCAGAGGTGGTGCAGGTTTGAGACTCGTACGTTGCTGGATTTTGCTGGTTAGGCACCTAAAGTGAAGCACATCCTTCACATCAGGCTGAGCCTGGGATGTTCACTGAAATAAAGCAGTCCAGGGTCCAATTTTCTGTGATTTTGGCATTTGTTAATGGTAGAACTTCACTGGGGGGGTGAACTGCTGCCTTTTGAAAGAAATAAAAACCCCTACTCCACCCTTTTTCATGTAACATCCTGCCTGAGGTGTTTTGCAGTCTTAAATATTGCAGGAAGTCCTTGGTTTCTGTGAATTTCACATGGAGATACTTTACAGTAATAAGGTGTAAAAAAGGATCAGTTCCTCTTCAGGTTATAACTACTCATCTTTAACTTGTCCTGTTCTGTAATGAGCTTTTCTTAATCCAACAGTGCCCATTTTCTCTAGGGAATATTTAGGATTTGGATGGTAGCTATGGTAGCTTGCCTTGACTGGGGTATCTTTTTCTGGAGCACTTTTCTCACTGCTATAAATAAATGTAAAAAAAAGGTCTCTATTAAAATAAACAAACGACAGCGTGCCTGATGCGCTCTTCTTTCACACACGTACTCCCTGGAAATTCCCAGCTGAGTTTAAACCGTGATTCAGGGCTGAAAAATGGTTGGATGTGGGGAGGTGTGAGGCCCGAGACACTGTTAGGAAAATAAGTGCTTTATTTTTTAATTTTATTCCAATTATTAATTGGAAATACTCTTCTTTGGGTTCCAGCCACAAGAGGAGGCTGAAAGAAAATTCTTAGTTGAGCTGAGCTTTGGTGTTGGGAAGGAAAATTACTCGTGGAACGGGATCCAGGTGGTTTTGACCTTTTGCTCTCCTGTTTTTGGTGTTTGGCTCTGGAAAGTGCACGAGGGAACGGGGATGCTGAGGGAATGCTGAACCACTGTTTGGTGTGTTTATCTTGGCACCGAGCCCTTAACTCCCTTTGCCAGGGAATAAATGGCATGGCAGGAAAAGGAATGGCATTTTCAGGGGATAAAGGGCAAGGGAGGGGGGATACAGACAGGAAAGGAGCTGCTTTATGGGGTGGGAGTTGCTGTATGGAGCTTTGCTGCCCTATCCATGGAAGTGCAGCCGAGGGGAGTGGGGAGAATGCTGGGATCAGGGCGCTGAGATGATCCAGGGATGGATCAGCCTTGGGCTGTTGGAGCTGTAGGGAAGCTCCCTCACTCCCTGGCACCCGGAATCCTGCCTTGCTCACCCCTCCAGGCCAGAATCAGGAGCAGATGGTGCTTTGTGGGGAAAAAAGTGGAGTTCCAGCAGGCTGGGGGGCCGCACACAAGGTCACGGAGCTATAAATACAGGTGGAGCTCTGCGGAACACAGGAGAGGGATCAGGGAGGCAGCAAGAGGAACAGTGCAGGGCTGGGGGGCTCAGCTGGTCGGGACCCCCAATTTTGGGCTGGTTTGATGCTCTGCTGTGGTTTTGGCTTGCTCCAACAGCGTTGTTTGGGAAGGAAGTTCTGTGTCAAACCTCTGGTTCAGCCACCCCCTCCCGGGGCTGTCTCGCCCCTGCCTGGCTGCAGGGAAACCGTCTGTTTTTAAATTTCCAGCTGGAAGTGAGGGAGAGGCTCCTGGTGTTGTGCTATTTATACCTCAGAGGGGCAGCCGGGCATCTGCCTCTGCGGAGCTCAGCTGTGCTGGGACCTCCGTGCGGTTTTCCTTGGATTTGCTCCTCCGTGGTCCCGGCTGGAGTTGGCTCCTGTCACCTGTGCCAGAGGATGCGAGCAGGAGCTACTCACTCCAGGAACTCCACGCTCGGAAAGGTGGGTGGTGGTGGGAATATTCACCAAACAAGAGCATCACTGGGGAGGCCAGAGGGAGTCTGGGAGCAGGGATAAAGCTTCCAGCCGGCGGATCTGTGGTTCCGCGCGCACGGAGCTATGCCAGCTATTTCTCTTTCTGTATAAATAAAATATCTCTGAGATGAAAAGGAGCCAAAGGGGGGCGGGGGGGGGGGGGGGGAGGGAGTTGGGAGGAGGTGGAATTGAGCCAGAGTCGTGGGAGCCTTTGGGAAAAATGGGAATTGGCTGGTTTTGTAAATGAAGCAAGTTGGTAGCAGGGTTAACCCCGTTGGTTTTTAAAAGAGAAGGAAAAAGGGCTTTTTGTAGGGCACGTCCTGGTTGCTTTTCCCCCTTTTTCCCTGCTGTACTGGTGTGGGACAGAAACCCTACAATAAGCCAGGGAATCTGAGGTGGGAATGTGAGAGGGGTGTTGGAAGGCATTGCCTGGAACACAGGCATCCTCCCTCTGAGGGCATTACCCCCGGAACGAAGTGCTTTTTCCACTTGCCAAACACATCTCTTGTTCCCTAGGCTGCCCTGTGCCTTGGCTCGTGCTGCCAGACAATCCTGCAGGTGGAAACACATCCATACCATCCACGTCACTGGGGATGGTGTCTGGTCCCAGAGAGGTGAGGGATCTGTTTTCACCCCGGGATATCCCCAAAAATATGTACAGCTTCTTCCTTGCATTGTAGGGCAAGAGAAAGTAGTTAATTTTGAGGATCCAGGCACAGGGTTGAGCAGGAAAACTGAGGCCCCATTTCTGTCCTCCTTCATGAAAAAGGAATTTATTCCCTTGGGGGTTATGTACTTTTAGTTGACTGTGATGGCTTTTCATCTCCCTTTATTCCCTCAGTTTGGCAGCAGCAGCACAACACCCAGTTTATTCCCGGAGAAGTGTGGTGGTTTTTTAACTCAGTTTGTGGCTTTTCTTAGCCAAGGTAGCCTAATTTGCTGCTTCTCAGGTGCCAAAAAAGGTGAAAAGGAATTTTGCTCATCCTAAGCATCTTCAGGGCCTGTGCTTCCCTGTGTATGCTCCCAGCCCCAACAGTTTTCCAGGCTGGCTGTGGCTGGGAGGTGCAACAACCATCCACAGGTTTATTTTCCCGTTTTCACCAAGGACTGAGGGCTTTGCTTTCCACTGCCAGGGAATTTAGCCAGAGGGAGAAGCAGCTGAGCATCCCCTTCCCAAACCAGCTCTGTCATCAGCCTCCCCCAGCCTTCCCACACTAAAAGCTGAACACAAATTGGGGATGAAAAGAACACTCCGCTGTATTTTAGCAGCCAAGTTTTTTTTTGAGGAATGGAAACAAAGCTGTGGAGCAAGCAGCCACGTGTGTGAAATGGATGGTCAGTGCATCTTCCCGTGGGCTCCTGGGCTGCTTTTGGGACCAAAACACCCACGATTAAATGGAAAAAAAATTAAATCAGGAGCTTGTGCATGGAAGCACCTGCAGGAAAAGAAAGGGAGCAGTGACTGAGCAGCCTCGTAGCTGTTCCTGGGGAGACAAGGCAAAAGATTTCGTAGCAGGGCAACACAGGGAAGTGATTTCAGGGAAAGGGATGTGTGAAAGCACAGGAGACCCCGGCACACTGCTGGCTCTGGCTCAGCAGCCCCCCACTCACCCCCAAAATCCGCAGAGCAGCAGCATTTCAGAGGATGCCACAGCACTGGCTGAACCTCCATCCTCTCCCTTGCCCTCCCCAGCCTTTCCCCCTGGGGAATTTGGCTTCCCTTGTCTACAACAAGCAGCTGACCTGCCCCAGGACCTGGTTTCCCGCTCAAAGGCCAAAATTCAGGTTTATTGTCAGCACTGCCCTCCAGTTCCTGCCATCCACCAGACCCGTGGGAATCCTGCCTGAGGCAGGGGCTCCGTGCCCGGCATCTCCTCGACAGCGGATGCTCTGCTGCAGAAGCGCTTATAAATTAAGGGTTTTTGGGGTTTTTTGGCTTCATCCCTGCTAGGAGTCATCGTAGAGAGGGTTGTTGTAGTTGCCCCAGGAGCCGTAGTCGTGGTCGTCCAAAAGCCTTCCGTAGGAGGAGTGCCTGCCAGGGAGAGCAAACCTGAGGTCACTTTGAGGATTTATTACTTATTTTGCCATGGGATGAAGAAATGGTAACGCAGAGGCTCCCTAGGTCAAGCTCTGGGGTGTTTAAAGAGGAAGGACCAGGAGAAGTGAAGCCCAGAGTGGATTTTGCCCCCGTTGAATGAGCCTGGACACAGGGAATTAAAAGCAGACCTTTGCTCATCTCAGCTGTCAGCAGAGGCTCATTAGGGATGCTCAGCACTGGGCTCTGCTGCTGTTTATTGTCCCAGTGACAGCGAGACCCACAGCAGCAGCTTTCCCAAGGGATAATTACTGGATATGACTATGCTGAGCAGCATCCCTGCCATTTGAGCAGGTCTGTTGCAAAACCAGGGAGGCGAACTCTGCTTTCCAGTACAGGAGCGGTGAGGAACGCAGCCCTGCTGGCACCAGAGGCTGCACACTGCCCTGCCACGCCTGGGGACAGCGTCTTCCCGGCGCTTGGCATCATCCCGCTGCCGGTGAGAGGGGCTGCAGGGAGGGGGGCCACCCCAAAACCGGCCTCACCTGATCTTGAGGTAGGCGGCCGCCCCAAACACCAGCACCACCACCACGATGACCGTCACGGTGATGGCCACGATGCTCCCTGCGCACCAAACACACCAGAAAGGGCAGGGTCAGGGCTCAGCCCCCTGATCCCAGCTCCCTGGCACACATCCCACAGCCCAGCTGCTCCCAGATCGCCCACACCAGCCATCTCTGTGTGAATATTCCCTCGCTGCTTCCCAAAGGGGGTGCCCCCTCTCTCCTGGCAATGATCCCAGAAATGCAGGTATTTGTGGGATGAAGCACAGCTTGGGCACCGTGCACTCGCTCTTGGATGCTGCTCCCAGCGCCAGGCAGCGTTCAGGGCTGAGCCAAGGCTAGAAAATGCTCCAGATCTCCCCTTTTCCAGCCACGTGCAGCACTTTTAAGCTACCCCTACAAGGGGACAGGGAGAAGCTCGTGTCAGCTTCCTGAGGGAAAATTCACCCTTACACCACCCTAACTCGGGCTGCACCCACCACCCAGCCGTTTGTCTCCTCTCATCCTCAAGCATTTCGAGTCAAATTTAGAGCTGAGGATTTTATCCCCATCTCCAGGCAACCGAGATTCGTTATCCGCCGCTCCCGGCCTCTGCCAGCGCGCCAGGCGGCACGGGCTCCTCCGGGAATTTCGCAGGGCGACGCTCTCAGCAAGCCGGGCACCTCTTCCCTTCCCCTTTGGGGCTCTGCCCGTGCGGCGTGGGCACGCCGAGGCTGGCACAGGGCGGGCACAGGAGCTCACCTGCGCTCAGGGCGCGCGGCACCTCCTCCACGGTGACCCCGGTGGTTTTCTCCGAGGCCTCGGCCTCGCCTTCCGCGGGGCTCAGCACAGTCCCGGGTGGAGATGTCGGCTCCGTGGCCAGGCTCGATGCCACGGCCAGTGTCCCCAGGGAAGGGACGTCCTCGGGCGGCAGCGGCGGCCGGGTGGCGGCCGGGCTCGCCAGGACGGGCGTCGGGGACAGGCCCGTGCCGGGAGGCGAGGCGGGCTGGCTGCTGGTGAGGGATGAGGGAGGCGATGGCACAGCCAGGCCCGAGGGGCTGGGAGTTGCTCCCTCATCCGTGGTGCTCCTTGCCAGGCCGGCAGCGTGCGCTGTCCGGGGAGCCGGGACAGCGGGTGGCACCGCGCTGGGGGACACGGAGGGGCCATCTGCCGCGGGGCTCACGGGGACAGCAGCGGGGGACAGCGCGGCCACCGGGGTGCTGGCATTGCGGCCGTCCCCGTCCAGGGGCCTGGAGGATGTCGCGTCTCCGGAAGGCGCCGTGGAGGAGGGCAGCTCTTGCTGGCCTGGAGCCGCTGTGGGGACATCCCTGGAGTCTGGTTTCACCGGGACGCCCCCCCAGAGCAAGGGGGGGCGGATGGGGATGAGGGGTGACTCCGGGGAGCCGTGGCCCAGTCCTAGGGGTGAGACAAAGAAGCGTTAGTGACAGGGCAGGCCTCGGGGTTCGGGAGAGCGCTGAATGAAGGGCTTGGGAATTAAGCTGGGAATAAGTTTTAAAACGGCGAGGGCCATCTGAAATGAAGAGAGGGGAAATACAGCTGTGTACCTGGAGGGGAGGTTCAAACCAGACCAGCTGTCCTGGCATAAATCAGCCCCGTTTTTCACCCAGTTCGGGATACCCCCATCACCCCCAGCATCAGGGGAAGAAGCTCCTCCTCAGAGCGGCCCCTGTGCAGCTGGGAGGGACAACACAAGACGCCTCTTTCTCCTCTCCCCCCACTTCCTTGTGCATTCATTCATTTGTCTCCGTTTCTTAGCGTGGGGATGAGTCATTTCTCCCCCTGACCCCCCAGAGCATCCCAAGCCCAGCCCTGGGCAGAGCAGGAGCTCGCTCCAGCTGCAATGAACTAATCAGGAGTGGGGAGGACAGAAACATTCCGTGCCTGTCTGTGGGAACAATGGGATCTGGCACTGGTTGGTGAGCGGGGACTCGTTAATTAAAGCAGCCAAAATGGCTTTTTTTGGGGTATCCATGTGGAAGGACCCCGTTTCCCAGGCAAAGGGGTCTTGGAGGTGGCACTGAGGCCGTGGCTGCTCTTCTCTGCTGAGGACAAGCGCTGGGAGATGGCTCTGAGCTTCCACCCTCCTCAGGCTGAGGACACCAACCGTGGGACAGGGAGGAGGAGAGGAATGACAGGCTGGTATCTGGTTACTGCAGGGATCCTTCACACCCCACGTGGTTCAGAATCCATCTGTACGCCACTGTTCTCACTCCTGGACCTTTCAGGTTCCTCCAGCAGGCAGCAGCCAGCTCGACAAGCAGGATCCTGCCAGGATCCCAGGAGCTTGACACCTCTGTAAATGCAGCTGCTCCCGGTCCCTCGGGGGCACAGGCGGCTTCCCACCTCCCTGCAAAGCCACCCTGATGTCCCCAAGCGCTTGGGGTCAGCAGAGCTGCCGTGGTGTGCCTGAATTTGGGAGGCAGAGCAGCGGGGAGCTGGCAGTGCTGCTGGCCGGGATGAGTCAGGAACTTTCCGATAACATCTGAGGGGCATAAATCCGGAGGCTGAGCCAGAACTGGAGGCAGGGACAAGCTCTGGCTGCTGGCTGAGAGCTCCCAGCCAAGGAGGTCACAAGTCACAGGGACTCTTCCCAGGAGAGCAAGGAAGGCACCAGGCTGAAAACACCTCCAGTCCCCCAGAGGGACTGAGGGATGCTGGCTCCCAGGGGATGCCCAGCATAGCTCAGCCCTGAGGAATTTGCTCATCTAATTCACTTAGGGCAGGTGACCACCCCGCTGGAATCCCACAGGGATTGAGGCAGGGGGCTGCCAGGATGAGGTGACCGCCCAGGAAAGCAGCAGTGTCACACTCCAGGGCCACACAGGAGCTTTGCAAAGTCCTTTTCCTAGGATTTTTGTCACTACGAATACAGAAAACAGCCAGGGAAAGAAGAACCCAAAGCCGTGTCATTCAAAGAGCAGTAGTGTCACACTCCAGGGCCATACAGGAGCCCTTTTCCTAGGATTTTTGTCACTAGGAATACAGAAAACAGCCAGGGAAAGAAGAACCCAAAGCTGTGTCATTCAAATATCCTGCTCTTAGGGGAAGGGGGTATTCTTAGGGGATATTCTTAGGAGGTATTAGCCCTAATCACGTGCCAACCTGAGGAATGAGCCTGGTGAATTGTGAATTGTGAATTATGGTGCTCCACAGGCTCCTGGAAGCCACACAGAGGGGCAGGTCTTGCCCTTGCAGGAGCTGAGTGATGCTCATGCTCCTCCTGGGAAAGAAAGAGCTGCTTGACCTGGGCTGGCAGCCTCTCCAGAACGCATTTCCCAGGCACTCCAAAAGCCATTGCAGCAAATCCTGAATTGCTCTGCCAGCCTGAAAGCCACCAGAGCACATCTCCAGCCTGAGTGAGTGACACCAGGCCGGAGCAGCAAACAAACATCCACTGATAGAGGCAGAGGTGGAGCTTTCAGCCAGCTCCACTTCTCTGGCACGGCCACAGGAGACCCACGGGACCAGCCCAAATTTCCTGCAGCACCCCAGCCCCAGCTGCAGCCAGGGATGCTCCCCCGGCAGCCAAGGCCAAAGGGATAAGGAGAGTTTCCATAACGTGGGTGTTGTTTGTCCTGCCTGAACAAGAAACACAGCAGCAGGACAGCGAGGAGAGCTGCTGGACACACACTGCTGCTGCCAGCCTGGGTGCCACTCTCCATGCCAGGTCAGCAGCTGGCAAACACCCAAAAAAACCCCACAAGTGACCAAGACCACACCAAGCATCGCTGCTCTTTAGAAACCTGTCTCTAATCACAAGAGTGAGCAAAAAAAAGAGCTTTTGCTGGTGCTGCATCGTGCTGCTCCTCAGCAAATGCTGGTGACAGAGCAGCCCTGAGCCTGCCCTGGGCTGTAACCAGGTTAAGTGATGCAGAGCAATAAAACAATCTAGATGTAAACATAAGGAAGGATTTCCTGCTCATGACCTCCTTGGCTCAGCTTTGGTTTCTGTGGCTGGGGAGTCCCATAAGCTGTGCTGGGTTTTTGGTACTTCCCCACCCCCTTGTTTGTGCTCAGGTATGATTTTCATTGTATTTCTTTGCTGTAAAACCAGCAGCATCTGGCTGCGGATGGCAAAAGCCCTCCTTGCAGCATCCAGGACCAAACCAAACTGGTTTTTGCTTTGGGTTCGACGAGTTTTTCCAGCTGCTCAGCCCTGCACCGCCTCACCTTCCCTGTCCCCATGCAGTTTGGGATGTGGGGATGCTCTCTCCTCGCTGCCTGGGCCCCACCTGCAGTGCACAGCGCTGCTGCTGGGGAAGGAGCACGAGGACGTGGAGGCTGGCCTGGGCCTCCAGCTCGTGTTTTTCTCTCTCTGGGGCACCGCTCTGGACTCCTGCCTCGTTATCCCCAAGAAACACGGGAGATGGGGAGCAGCTCTGCCAGCTCTGAGCCGTGTCCCACCCCCAGTGAGATTTTCCTGCCCCATCACAGGGGGGACACCCAGCTGGATCAGCGGTGACTCCTGGGGACACCTCAAGCTCCAGCAGCGCCTGTGGGTGCTGGTGACCCCTGCCTGGGGTGCTGCTCCTCTCCCTGCTGCCCTGTCCCCCCTGTTTGCAGTGCTGCTGGCACTCGTGGTACGAAAGCAAGGCCAGAAACACCGACAGGTAGAAGGCAAAAGCGATTCCCTGCCCGTGAGAAGGAGCCAGGGCCATCAGATCCAATAAACCTGCGCTTGCTCTGATTTACTGGCAGGCCGAGCTGGCTTCCTGCGCGATCAGTTTTATTCTGCTGCGCGCTCGTTAAGTGCCTGAGCTCTAATTGCCCTGAAGCTTTCTGTGGCTGACAGAAGCAGCTGCCCAGCAGAAATCCCAGCGTCCGTGTGTCCGTCTGTCCCAGCCACCAGGCCTGGCTCGCTCCTGCACACCCTCCAGAGCCCGAGGAATGCTGCTGTGGGCAGGCTCCCCTTGAGGAGGCAGGAGGGAAGCTCCAGCACCCTGCAGGCTCCGCTCTTCCCAGCTGAAAATAGCAATTTTTTCTAAAATTCACATGGCTCCCTGCATGCTGCACGCTCCCTCCTTCCTTGCCTGGGAGGAGTGTCCAAGTTTTTCCCTGCCCCACGATCCAAACCCAGGAAAAGGTGGTGTTTCCCTTCCCCAGAGCCAAGTGCTGCTCAGTTATCCAGCCCATGAAGCCCTTGATGCTGATGCTGCAATGAAATTACAGCAGAAAAGAAGGAGAAGAGGAATTTTTGGGTGGGTTTTTTGCCTCCTGAGAGTGGCAAAACCCCTGTCAGCCTGTACAGCCAGAGGGCTCTGATGAGGACCTGGGGTGGAAAAACATCTAAAATGATGTCTTGCTTGTTTAAATAAAAAATAAATTCGGTATTTCAAGTTATAGTCTTGAAAGATGCCAGCAGGGGTTGCGCTGTGCTGATTTCCCTGGGGAAGGGGAATGAAGGGATGCAAGGGGATGCTCTCTGCTGTCTCCTGGGGCTGGGAGCTGGCAGGTGGGACCTGCCTGCTTGGGACACCTCACACTATTATTTTTCCCCAGGCACATATCTCGGATATGGCTCTGGAGCCAGCCAGGAGTTTTGCAAGAAGCAGCTCTGCCCAGGTGACAACTCCCCAGCTCCATCATTTTCCTGGCTGGCTGCTAATTAGTGCTTCCAGGTGCAGCTTCCAACATGCATCAGCCCCATTCCAGCCCCTCCCAGGGGGAGAAGCAGCTGGGTTGGGCAGAGGAATTTGGGGAGCATCCTCTGGTATTAAGAGGCTGGCTGCTCATTTGGGCTGGCAGAGGGGGTAATTACCCACTCCCCTGTCCTTCAGCTGGTGGGGGAGCAGAGTGCTGGAGGATTTGCCTCCTCAAAGGCAGAATAAATCAGCCCTGAGAGCCCAAAAAGCAGCTCTTCCAGCCCAGAGCCTGCACCAAGCAGCTCTCAAAACCTTAAAGGCCTTAAATCTGCTTCTAAAAGGTACTCAAAAATGTCTCAGCTGGGGCACAGGGGGAATTGCAGAAGGGCAGAGCGGGCCTGGGGCTGGGCACCAGGTCAGGAAAGCAAAACAGGTTTCAATTTACATCCAGAGTAAGGAGTCATAAGGGGATAAAAACTTCCTTGTGGGAGACGCTGCTGTTTCATTAGGTGGCCAGGCAAAGCCCAGACTTATTTTACTCCTGGCCAGTGACGTCCTAGCTGTCATTTAGCCCTGAAGAATGAGCTCGAAGCAAATTCAAATCCTGCTTGGTGTTTCCTCCCAAGTGAGAGATATTTTTGTATACACACTTTTTTTCTTTTCTTTTTTTTTTTTTTTTTTTTTTTTAAATAAATTATTTTTGCGGGGGCAAGTGTGTTGTAGAAAGCATCCGAAAGATGCTCCAGGGCCGTTTGGGAGCAGCCTGAGGGACGTGGGACCAGGGTCCAGGGAAATCTTTTCTGTTCCTGCTGCCAAGCCTGGCTGGCCTTGGTGCTGTGGAGAGGGATGGTCGTGGGAACAGCTTTGGGCTTGGCCCGGGCGCTGGGAAAAACCCGCCTCCCGACCCCAAGGCTGGCTGCCGGCACAGACCGCCGGCTTTGGGGGCAAATTTGGCACTGCAAAGGAGGAGAAAGAGCATCTCAATGCTCGTCCCCATCCCTCCCGAACGCACACATCGGGAGCTCGCCGGCTAACCCCCCTTGTACAGGGAGAATTATTCACCCAGCTCTCCCTGCTCCAGGGAAGATCTCCCGCCTGCCGACGAGCTCCGGGCCGATGGTTCGGGGTCCCGCGGGTGTGACCCGTCCCCCGGCGGCCCCGGGGGCTGCTGCTGCCCGCGGGCTGTGCCGGCAGCTCGGCCCGGCCCGATGTGACAGCGACATCCCGCCCGATGGGTTTCTCCCCGGTTATGCAAGCGTGTTTTCCACCTTCCCGAGCAGGCAGCTCCTCGTGTTTGTTGCGGGCGGAGGGGTGACCTGCGCTCGCTGTCGCATCAGCCGGGGACAGAACTGTCCCCGCCGAGCGTCTCGGAGGGGGAAGACGTCCAGTCGGGCGTTTCTGTGGCATGGGGAGGCCGGTGATGCCGGGGGCCAGGGAGAGCCATAAAAACTCCCCGGGAGCGGTGACCGCGGGGGAAGGGGATGCGGGGCTGCCGCGGCTCCAGCCCGGCCAGGGGGTGGCCGTGAGGACACTCCGGTGGTCCCACCAAGTCCCCCCGCTCCCAGCAGTCGGGGACTCTGCTGGGGACGAGGAGAAGCAGGGTGGGACACCTCCTGCCCCGCTGTCATTGGGGGTGACCCCTCCCGGGGGGTGTGAGGGGCCGCCACCGCCGAGCCCCTCTCCGGGAAGCACCGGCGCTGCCCCCGGTAATCGCGGGGCTGCCTCCTTCCCATCGCTCCCAGCCCGGCACCGCGGGGTCCCCGGCGTGTCCCCCCACTTCCCCAGGGCGCTTACCTGCCGGGAGGAGGAGGAGGGCGAGGAAGAGGAGGCGGCAGCAGCAGCCCATGGTGCCGGCGGCGCTGGCAGCCGCGGCGGGAGGGACGCAGAGCCCGGCCCGGCCCCCGCCGCCGCCCCCCGGCCGCGCCCGGCCCACAGCGGCACCTGCCGGCACCGGAACCGCCGGGGCTGCCGGACCCAGCACCGGGCGCGGGAGGCTCGGGTGTCACCCGCTCGGGGTGCTCTGTGTCACCGGCACTTGTCCCCTCCCCGTTGCCAGCTCCCGCCCGAGTGTGGCGGGGATGTCCTGGCACGGGATGCCCGGAGGAGCTGTGGGTGCTCCATCCCTGGAAGGGTCCAAGGACAGGCTGGGCAAGCGGCAGAGCAGCCTGGGCTAGTGGAAGGTGTCCCTGCCCGTGGTAGCAGCGTTGGGACAGGAAGAGCTTTAAGGTCCCTTCCAATCCAAGCAGTTTTGTGATCCCGTGGTTCTCCCTGGGGATCCCCTTGCCTGTGGTGGGGGACAAGCCAGGTACTTGAATGAAGGGGAGCCGGGCACTCAGGGTCCTGCCTTCCCACGGCACAAACAGCTCCCAAAATGCAGCTCCCAGTGCCCAAAGGAGCCAGCCAGGAGACAGACACCTGTGGCACAGCAGGAGGTACAAGGACCTACATTTTTTTTGCCCCTTTCCTTCTGGGAAGAGCAGTGCTGCGGGTGAAATATTTTCGGGCTGAACTCATCCTCCCCAGGCTTTTGCGTGCTCACAATGGAAAAGGATTTTCGGAGCCCGGGCTGTGGCCGAGCTATCTTTACCCGGGCTTGCATTGTGTGGCATTTTCCCGGGATGGATCCTGGCTCTGGGCCTGGACCAGCAGGGCACAAAATCCAAGTCAGCTGGCATTCCTCGGGCAGTCGGGCGCTACCAGCACCCCCACTCTCCTTGAAACCTTCCCCCTGCTCGGGAGGAGGGAAAATAACGCTGCTGCCGCTGCCGTGGGAACAGCGTGACACCCTCCCTGCTTCCCAGCTCACATCCCTGTTGTTGGTGCTGATGAATGCTCCCAAGGGCAGGAGTTTTTGGGGGGTCGGGACGGGGCTGGGCACGCCGCTGCTCCCCGCGTTTTGGGTGCCAGGGGCCGGGCTGTGGCAGGCCCGGAGCGCCCCGAGGGCCACCAGCCCTGGGCTCCCGCTGCCACCTGCTGGTCACCTCGGCCCGGTCCTCCCGGCCAGGGAGATCCTTTTTTGGGGATAACTTTGGCCAGCGCTTTCGCACTGCCGCTGGAAACCATTGCCTCTGGTGACATCTGCCCTGCGGCTCCAGCTCTTTTAAAATCACCTCTTTAAAATGCTTTTCCCCACCAGTTCTATCCAGATGTGAAGGATGCTGGAGGGAAATTTTTCTTTTAGTGGGCATGAGGATTTTAATTTTTTTTTTTTTTTTTGTGTCCCTGCCCGTGGTAGCAGCGTTGGGACAGGAAGAGCTTTAAGGTCCCTTCCAATCCAAGCAGTTTTGTGATCCCGTGGTTCTCCCTGGGGATCCCCTTGCCTGCTGCACAGAGGGGTCTGGTGCCTGTGGTGGGGGACAAGCCAGGCACTTGAATGAAGGGGAGCCGGGCACTCAGGGTCCTGCCTTCCCACGGCACAAACAGCTCCCAAAATGCAGCTCCCAGTGCCCAAAGGAGCCAGCCAGGAGACAGACACCTGTGGCACAGCAGGAGGTACAAGGACCTACATTTTTTTACCCCTTTCCTTCTGGGAAGAGCAGTGCTGCGGGTGAAATATTTTCGGGCTGAACTCATCCTCCCCAGGCTTTTGCGTGCTCACAATGGAAAAGGATTTTCGGAGCCCGGGCTGTGGCCGAGCTATCTTTACCCGGGCTTGCATTGTGTGGCATTTTCCCGGGATGGATCCTGGCTCTGGGCCTGGACCAGCAGGGCACAAAATCCAAGTCAGCTGGCATTCCTCGGGCAGTCGGGCGCTACCAGCACCCCCACTCTCCTTGAAACCTTCCCCCTGCTCGGGAGGAGGGAAAATAACGCTGCTGCCGCTGCCGTGGGAACAGCGTGACACCCTCCCTGCTTCCCAGCTCACATCCCTGTTGTTGGTGCTGATGAATGCTCCCAAGGGCAGGAGTTTTTGGGGGGTCGGGACGGGGCTGGGCACGCCGCTGCTCCCCGCGTTTTGGGTGCCAGGGGCCGGGCTGTGGCAGGCCCGGAGCGCCCCGAGGGCCACCAGCCCTGGGCTCCCGCTGCCACCTGCTGGTCACCTCGGCCCGGTCCTCCCGGCCAGGGAGATCCTTTTTTGGGGATAACTTTGGCCAGCGCTTTCGCACTGCCGCTGGAAACCATTGCCTCTGGTGACATCTGCCCTGCGGCTCCAGCTCTTTTAAAATCACCTCTTTAAAATGCTTTTCCCCACCAGTTCTATCCAGATGTGAAGGATGCTGGAGGGAAATTTTTCTTTTAGTGGGCATGAGGATTTTAATTTTTTTTTTTTTTTTTTTTTCCTGCTCCCTGCCTTTGCCCACCCCACCGGCATGAAGCCAGCTCCCCTGTGCCACATCCTGGTGCCAGCTGCCAGTTTTGCTGGCCTTGCCCAGAGCTTTTGCACCATCCCTGTGGTTTGTCACGCTTTGCCTGCTTTTGGGGGGCCACCGGCAGGGAGCCGGGGGGGCCGTGAGCCCAGGGGCCGGCGGTACCGGTGTGCCGGAGCTTGCAGCAGGAATTTTTGGCTGGCCAGGGCTAAGGGAGCTTGCTCACCCCCTGGCCAGCGGCCAAATGGCATGGCTGGGTGGCTGCCAGCACTCGCATTAATAGCTGCCAGCTTGCGGTTTGAGGTCACCCGTTCTTTCCAGTCGTTCATTTCCACCTCCTCTGGCTCCGCGGCCGCTCCCTGCCCGCTCCCCTCCCTGCCGGGAGAGCCCCCCGAGCTCTGCTGGGAGCCGGGACAGCGCCAGCCGTGCCGGAGCATCCCCGCTGAGCAGCCCCGGAGGGGACACCTTCACCCCTGGGGGTCTCTCCAGCTCCTCAGGGTGTCACCCAGAGGACCGGGAATACCCTCCCGGCACCCCCCGAGGGAAAAATCACCCCGCGAGGTGTATTTGGGAAGGCAACAGCCCCTTGCAGGATAATTCGGAGCTGCCGTGCTGCCAGCCAGGGCCCTTGGGAGGGTGTTTTACTCGCTGTGAATAAATTCACCTCGCCACAGCAAGCTGGCCAGGCATAAATGCTCTGGGCAGCGAGGCTGGACTGGGGCGCGCACCCTCTGTCCCTCTGGAGAGGGGATCCCCCGGGAGCCATGCCTGGAAGCCGTGACGGCAGGCTGGGGGATCCCTCTGGCCGCCCACATCCATCCCCAGGGATGCGGGGCCAGGCATGTGTTGGCCGCCTCCCGGCAGGACGAGGCCGGGCGCGGCCGGTGGGACACGCGTGGGTGGGACACCCGGGAGGGGACACCCGGGAGGGGACAGAGGCACCGCCGGGGGATGGCTGCGGCGGGGTGGGAGCCGCGCAGCTGGACGAGGAGGAGGAGGCGCAGGAGGAGGAGGAGGAGGAGGAGGAGGAGGGCGGCGGTGCCGGAGCGGCGGCCCCCGTCCCGCCCCGCCGCAGCTGCCGGGCACCGGGCACCGGGCAGGCGGCGGCGGAGCGCATGGAAGCGGCGGCGGCCCCGGCGCCGGGCGGCGGCCCCGGTACCCTGCTGCTCTGCCTGGCCCTGGCCTCCGGTAAGCACGGGAGTCCCCCTGCCCCGACACCTGCCCGGCCCCGGGATAGCCAGCGGCCGGCGGGGTGTTCCTCCTCCCCGCCCCTGCACGGGGCTCCGCGTCCCTGCACGGTGTCACCGCCGCTGTCCCAGCCCCGTGTCACCCCCTGTCCCGGCTCTGTCCTCTCTCTGGTCCCGCTGTTCTTGTTCCCAGGCTGATGATCCTGCACCTGCCTCCCGGTGCCATCCCGGTGCTCCCCCCGCCCGTCCTGGTGCTCCCCCATCCCATCCCATCCCGCTGCTCCCCGGGTCCCATTCTGCTGCGCCCTTGTGTTCCCCCCCTCTTACCCCCCATCCTGGTGCTGGCCCTGTCCCATGCCAGTGGCTCCCTGTGCCCCCCCGGATAATCCCATCCATCCCAGCCCTTCCTCTGTGCCCAGCCTGGTGTTTGCCCAGCCCTGTCCCTGAGCTCCCCTGTGCCCCCAGGTCCCACCCTGGAACTCCCCACCGCTCCAACCCAGCGCTCCCCTGCCCCTGAATCCCTCGGGGCCAGGGCTGGATCCTGGAGCAGGACCGGGATGCTTTTGCCACCTGTTGGAGGGACACTGCTGATGGGTGCCTGAGGAATGTGGGATGCCGGGGCAGGGGGGCCAGTACCTCTCCAACAAGTGTGTGAGCATTCCCATGTCAGTTCCTAAGTTTTTGGGAAGCAGGCAGCTGCAGACAGGTGTCTGCTGATGGCTGCCAGGAAAAAAACCCTCAGGCTGGAGAGCCGAGACCCTCCCTGGCAGAGATCCCTCCCCCGCACTGGGATTTCGGGGGAGCTTTTCTCTCCGCAGGGAGCAGCTTGGGTTTGGCTCTTTGGCAGGGCTGGTGACAGCACTTGGCAAAACCTGCCAAACCTGTGCTGGCAGGAGGAAACCGAGGGTGGCCGGCCGGTTTTGGGGCCGGTGCGTCCCCTCCGAGCACTGCCACCTCCCGCGTGGTTTGGGCTTTCCTGGGAGAGCGTAGGGGTGTCAGCAGCAGCACAACCCGGTGTTTGGGATACTTCCCTGGGTTATCTCTGGCTGCTCAGCCAAGGCTGCAGCCCCAGATAGTGGAGCCAGAGGAGCAGGGAGGTGAGGGTGTCCGCACCTGCAGCCTCCGGGGCTGGCACCGCCGCCAGGGCGGTCCTGCCGAGGGGCTGCCAGCCCGGAGGGTGCCAGAACTCCGCATCTGCTCGCAATAAGGGCGGGGAGCTCAGCTTGGTGGGGATCTTTCCATGTCGAGCTGTGAACTCGGTCACCGCCGGTGAAGTCAGCCTCCCTCCCTGCGTGTCCCGCCTGTGCCCGCAGCTGGATGCCGGCGTGCAGCCGCCCCGTGGCTCATCCCTGGCAGCTCCCACCCTGCGGGCGGGGCGGTGGGCTCGCTTCCCTCCCCGCCGGGCTCTCCTGGCCGCTGTCGCTCCTCAGCTCCGAGGAGGTGGCTATATATAGCCAGGAGGGACGTGTGCGCTGGGAATGTCCCCGCTGCGGGACGCGGGGGACCCGGAGGCTCGGCCGGGCAGCTCCCAGCGCTGTTTCCAAGGTGCCGGAGGAGGAAACAGCGAGCGGGAGGCCTGGCTGGCAGGCAGTGTTTGGCCGCTCAAGCTCTCCGCTCCCTGCCAAGCCTCCGAGTGTCCCCACGCGGGAGCCACCCGGCCGCTGCCCCGTCAGGCAGGACCTGTCCCCGCTGCCGGGAGCCGCCCGGGCGGGTGAATCCCCGGGGAGCGGCGGGCGGGAGCGGGGCCGTGCTGAGTCAGGCTGGTATGCCAGCGATCCGGTTACCGCCGCTCCGGGGAGCCGCCTGCCGCGCTCCCCCCGGGGCACCGGCACGGAGTGCTGGCCCCTCTGCCCGTGCCCGGGCTGTGCGGGGCTCCGGGGACAACTTGCGGTGCCTAAAGAGGCGCCGAGGGAGCTGCAGAGGGACTTGTGGCAAGGGCACGGAGCGACGGGACAAAGGGGAAGGGCTCCGCGCTGACAAAGGGCAGGTTTAGATTAGATACCGGGAAGGAATTCTTCCCTGGGAGGGTGCGGAGGCTCTGGCACGGGAAGCTGTGGCTGCCCCATCCCTGGAAGTGTCCAAGGCCGGGTTGGACAGGGCTTGGAACAGCCTGGGACAGTGGGAGGTGTCCCTGCCCGTGGCAGCAGGGCTGGATGAGCTTCACCGTCCCGTCCAGCCCGAAGCCATCAGTGATTCCACCAGTCCGGATCTCTCTGGGGATCCCTCCCTGCATCCTCCGCGGGCACAGCAGCAGCTGCCCGGGCTGTGTGGTCCCAGCCCCACCAGGCTGGCTCCCAGAGCTCCGTGCCGGGGCGTTGCTGGGCGGAGGCAGCAGGCGGGGCCGGCTTTCCCTTCTCCCGGCCCTGGGGAAAAGCTGATGCTGCCAGCTTTTGCAGGGGGGCCGCAGCTGCACAGCCCGCTGCCAGCACCCCCGCTGTGGCTTTGGGGGGCTCTGGGGCTCCCCCCTGAGCTGCCTGCCCTTCCTTCCAGGCTTGGCACTCTTCAGCTGCGTGGGCGCCGACACCAACATCACAGCGGGCCACGGCCCCGAGGGGCTTGGCTGCGGCACGGCACGGCCATGCACAGGTAAGGGGGGCTGCCAGGGGGCTGGGGGCAGCCGGGGGCCGTGGAAAGGAGCGGGGCAGCGGCTCGGGGGTGCTGCTGCCTCCGGGCAGAGCTGTCACCCCTGTGGGGCTGTCCCCCGTGCGTGTCGCCCCGCAGGGAATGGCACGCAGCTGCGGCGGCAGAGCCACTTCTCCCGCTGCCCCGAGGAGTACCAGCACTACTGCGTCAAGGGCAGGTGCCGCTTCCTCGTGGCCGAGCAGGCTCCGGCGTGTGTGTAAGTCACCCGACGTGGGGACACGGCGACAAGGCGCCTGCCGTGCCCGTCCCCGCCGGCAGGGCAGAGTGAGGGGGGCCACGGGCAGCGTGGCGGGTTTCGGGACCGCTCCGTGCCTCCCCTGTGCCGCGGGGCAGGTGCGAGCGGGGCTACACCGGGGCTCGCTGCGAGAGGGTGGATCTGTTCTACCTGCGAGGGGACCAGGGCCAGATCGTCATCATCTCCCTGATCGTCGCCATCGCCGCCCTCATCATCCTCGTCGTCGGCATCTGCCTCTGCAGCCAGTACGTGGGGGAAAGGACCGGGAAGGGAAAGGGAAAGGGAAGAGGGGGAAATCCTGTCCGGCTCCCCTGGCTCCAGGCAGGTGGAGTTGGGGCTGCCCCAGGCTGGTGGGACATGTTCCTGCAGGTGTTGGGAAGTGCCTGGGATATTCATTTGGGGCTGGAAAGCAGGTGTGATCTCCTTCTGGGGATCTTCTGCAGGGTAAAAGCCGAGGGAGAGGGAGGAGCATCACTGCTATGTCCCCTTCTTCCTCTTTTTTGTTTGTTTGTTTGTTTATGATTTTTTCCCCCCCGTCAAGCCACTGTCGGAGGCAGCGTAGGAAGAGGAAGGCAGAAGAGATGGAAACGCTAAACAAGGATGGACCTTCCAGAAGTGAAGACGTGCGGGAAACGGGCATCGCGTGAAGGTGCGGGGCGGCGGGGGCGCGACCGAGCCGGTGCCACCGGAGCCCCGCCTTGGGCTGGGTGCCGAGGCCGACGGGTTCCGCTCTCTCCGCAGGAGCTCCCGGTACCTGCGGGCGGGTCCCGGACAGCAGCAGCTGCTGGCTCCACGGGCGAGGGCTAAAGCGTGCGGCGGCTTCAATAAAGGGGTGACGGAAAGGTGTCCCCGTGTCGCCGCTGTCCTTGGGGCGCGGGGGCTGCGCTGCCGCAGCGCGGCCGCCAGACGGCGACACTGCGCTGGTGCGGGCGGCCCGCCTGCCATACCCGCGCTGGCCACGCGAGGGCGCCACGACCGCGCCGCCTCCCGCTCCCGGTCCCCGTCCCGCTCCAGGTCCCGGTCCAAGGGGCTCTGCCGGGCTCCGGTCCCGTTCCGGGCGGCCTGAGGGCTCTGCTGGAGCTGCTCCCATTGCCGCCGCGCCTCCCCGCAGGGACCGAGCCCAGCTCAGCGCCCTCCCGCTTCTCAACACCCGGCGGGAGAGGGGCGGGACGGGGTGAGGGAAACCGGGCAAAACGGGTGGAAAACAAGGAGAAGCGGGGCAGAAGTGGGTGAGGCGGGGCTGTTGGCTCCTGTCGCCCCGCGCTGCTGGCTCCGGTGCCCGGAGCTGCGGTCCGGACCGTGCCACCCGGCACGGGGATGGTTCGTTCCCTCCCCTCAGTGCGGGACCCGCCGGTGTCCCCGTGTCCCTGGCAGTGGGTTTAGGCGCTGACCCTCTGCGGGGACAGCATCAGTACCCCGCGATAGGGCCGGGTGTCCCCGGTGTCACCCACGCCGTCCCGCGGGAGGCGGGGACGCGGTGGAGCCGCGGCGCTCCCAAATCCCGGCACGGCACCGGCTCCCGCTCCAACCGGGGCACGGTGACCGGCCCCGGGGGCTCTGCAGCCCGCGACCCCCCGAGACTGCCAGCGGTTGCGGCTGGAGTTTCCCGGGAGAGCCGGTGATCCTCCCGCCCCCGGGCTCGGTTCTCCCGGCACGGCACGGCACGGCACGGGTTCCTCTGCCCGAGCAGGACAGACGGTCCAGCCTGGCTCGGCTCGGCTCGGCCACAGACGGGATCCGCTGCAGCCGGTGAGCGCGCCAGCCGCTGCTGGGCAAACTGGTTCGCGCCGGGGTCCAGCCCTTTGCTCCTGGCCGGGCTCATCCCAGGGGATGCCGGGGAGCTGGAGCTGGCAGGAACCGGGCTCGGCGCGGCTCTGGGGCTGGGTACAGCCCTGCCCTGACTGAAAACCTTCTTTTCCAGCTCCAGCCGTGCCAATGGGAGAGCAGAAGCCGCCCCAGGGATCGGCTCCTGCAGCCCCGCCCGTGATTCCAGCTGGATTCCAGGATGATGCCCGCCCCGGCGGTGCCCGTCCCTCGGGAGGTGTTGGTGCCCAGGCGATGCCAGGTGCCTGTGGAAGGCTCATCCCCGTGCCCAGGCAAGGAGCACGGCCCTGAGGTGCCAAGGGACATTTTTTTTTTTTTTTGGGCACCTAATTCAGCAAGGGGAGGGGGATTCCCGATTCCACGCAGCTGCTGGAAGCCCTGGTGGGAGCTGAGCAGCACCTGTGAGCTGATCCCCCCTCTATAAAAGGCTGATTTTATCCCCAGGCTTCACTGGGGAGTGAAGCCAAGAGGAAAAATGCTTGCTGCTCCTTTGGGAATGAGCTGTGCGTAGCCTGGGAGACAAATAAAATGATAAAGGAGGTATGAGACTTTTTCCTGCCTGTTTTTTGGGTGGTTGGAGTCGGTGGCTGGGATGCTGCAGGCCCAAAAGGGCTGGGAAGAGCAGGCACTGGGGAGTCAGCAGCCCTGCAGGTCTCAGGAGTGGATAAAACACTTTAATGTTTTTTATAATTCTTCATGGAGCCCTGGCCAGGTGAATGCTGGAGCTGATTTTATTCACTGCTGGGTTTTCAGGGCTTTAAGTAATCCCCACTGGGCTTTTCCCATGGCAGCCCTACATTCCCTGGGTGTAAGGAAATTATTCCTCCCTGGATGCCTGCACAGCCACAGAATTCCTGCTTTAAGCTGATGGGTTCCTGGGCAGTGGACACCAAGGTTGGGGATTAAAAAAAACTAAACAAGTCAGGAACTTTGCTGCTTCCTGTACGTTTTTGGGAATGGGTTAGAGAGGGATGAAAAGGCAGGAGGTGAATCCTCCCTGTGTGTGTCACGGGGCTGAGGGCAGCAGGAATGAGAGCTGGAAAAGAAAATTACTATAAAAAAAAAAATTAAAATCCCAGGTAAAACAGAGAGTGGGAAAGACAACTGGTTTGTGGCAAGGAGTGGATGGAATCCCTGGGGAGGTGATGCTGGCAGGAGCAGCCCAAACTTTCCAAGGAAATGTGGTGGTTTCAGTAGGAGGATTACGATTTGTGTTGCTTTGAACAGCAGTTGGGTATTTTTGGGTAGTTTTACCCCCGTAAGCAGCGATGGTGTCACCTGGCAGAGATGGCTTTGGCTGGCTTAATGGCATTTCTCCAGTTTTCCTTGGAATTCCAGGTCACTGGGATGGTTAGCCCTTACCCTGTGCTCTCAGAGCGTGAAGGATGCAAACCTGAGCACAGCGTTGAGATGTGGGTCACTCACCCCGACAGAACAAGGTGAAACCCAACTTATTGATTGGAAATAAGTTAGAAATAATTGGAAATCAATGTTTTGGAAAATAGGTGCCAAAGGCAGGCTGTGACAGGAGGATCCATGCCTTGGCACCAGCACGTCCAGTCCCAGGTCAGTGGGGTCCTTGGGGCAAAAAATGAAGACCAAAACCAAGCCAAAACCAGTTTCCCTTTTCTGTCCAGGACAGGGATGGTGCCAGCCCAATCCACTTTGTTTCTCACACTCCAGGGGAGCTCGGCAGCCATCCAGGGACTGCCAGTGCTCCCAGAGAAGGGAGAGCTGCCTTGAACATGGAGTTCTTCTTGGCTTTGGCTCTGCTGTATCGCCCTGGCTCATCTCTGCACATCCAGGTGTCCTCGGGCGCTTCCCTTGCCATGTTTGTTGCACACAAAGCTCCCAAAATCTGGGCTCCGGGGATTTTCCTGCTGCTTCCTGGGCTGGCTTTGCCATCCTCCTGCATCCCAACCCGGGCCTGCAGCACCCCCAGAGCTCTGGGCAGGCGGGGAGCTGGGGGTGCCAGGGTGCCCCTCTCAGGCAGCTGAATACCCCAACACCCACGGGCTGCTCTCCCTGGGGGCATTTGAGGAGTCTTTTCCCTGCTTTCGCTTAGTTTTTAGAGCTTTATCTCCCAGGGTCAGGGCTGGGATCCCTTCCTGCCCGCGGAGGAGAAGCTGTGCTCCTCTCCCACCCTCCGCGCCGCCCCGAGGGTGCACAAAGCCTTCCCGCAGGGCACATTCCTTGTCTTTATTTCGGCTGCAGGAATACAAGGCGCGGGGCTCGGCGACACCTCCCGCCTGCCGGGTCTCCTCCAGCCCCTTCCCGTGTCCCCCAGGGCTCTCCCCTCCATCCGTGCACCATCCTTGGACAAGGAGCCGCTATCCCAGCAGGCAGGAGCCCTTCTGGCACAGCTCCCCCAGCTCCGAGCTCACCTTGGAAGCGCAGAGCAGCGGCGGAGCGGCCGGCAGGCAGCAGGTGGAGGCGAAGGATGCTCGCTGCTCCAGGAGATGCTCCAGCTGCTCCGGGCCGGGCCGGGGCTCGACCTGTGCCAGGCTGTCCCGCAGCCTGCGGCGTGGGGAGCGCGGTCACACGGGGGACGGGGTGGGGGAAACGCGGTTTTGCGTCCTCGGCGTCGCCGGGTGGGTTTTTGTGGGGAGGAAGGGAAAGCTCACCTCTTCTTGAAGTCAAGGAAAGGCAGCTGGTTGTGCTGCCCGCAGAGCTGGTTGGCCTTTTGCAGGAAGGGGAAGAGCTCTGCGTCTATCCGCCGGCGCTGGGGGCAGAGGGGGAGTCACCGGGCTGGGATTTGGGCGGCACTGGGATGAGGGGGAGCGGGATGAGCCCCCAGAGCCCCCTCACCTTGCTGTCCCAGCAGGCGGAGGGGTCCTTGGAGGAGCAGCATTCCCCGCGGAGCTTCCCGGAGGAGTCGTAGAGCTTGGCGAGGACGGCGTCGGGGAGGTTGGGGTGCCTGCGGGCCAGCTCAAACAGGAACCTGGAGCGGGAAACGAGGAAACGGGAGCTCCCCTGAGTTTTCCCTGGCGTCTTTGTGCCGCCCCTGCTGGCACAAATTCCCCTGAGGGAACTGGGGATGCTCCCCTGGTTATCCCCATAAAAAGCTAAGCGTGTAACAGGGTCAGGAAGTGGTCGGACTCGATAATTTTAGGGATCTTTTCCCACCAGAATGGCTCTATTCCATGACTGCCCCCTGGCTGCCGCTCACCTGGTGGCATGGAGAGCCCCGTCCTTGGCACACAGCTCCTTGTTGGTGGGCTCGGGCGGCTCCGGCAGCTCGGGAGCCGGCGCTGGGAGCATGGCCAGGATGCAGAAATGGTTTTCCATCAGGTTCTTCCCCTTGCAGCAGCCAGCAAAGCGCGCGTCGCGGGCCGCCAGCGCCGTGCAGACTTTGGCCGTGTGCTCCAGGAGCTGCAGAGAGGGAGCAGGGCCTGGGCAGGTGCCCTCGGCTCCCTGAGCTCCTGCTGGCAGCCGGGAGCCGCTCCGGGCTGGGCTCCAGCCCTCCCTACCTTCTTCTGCATGCAGTCCTCGGCCAGGGAGTCGCAGCACCGGGAGGACACCTCGGCAGCGTCCTCGGCCAGGGGCAGAAGGTCCTCGAAGGGAGCAGTGGGAACCTTCTGGGCCAGCGAGGCCAGGTAGCTGGGGAGCACAGGGTGCGTGGGGCTGGGAGCTGGGAACATCCAGCAGCTTCCCAGGAAACAACTCCGAGCCGGGGGGAGGGAGGGGATGGGGAGGGCAGGGCTGGCTCTGCTCCTGTGCTGTGCACCAGAATCAAAGCTTGTGTTCCTGAATGCTGCCTGCCAACAGGGTCTGCAGCAGGAGAGAGGAGCCCTGCCCCCGTGCCAGGATGGAGAGGCCATTTCCCGCCGTACCTGAAGCTGACTTTGTCCTTGCCGTAGGCCGAGAAGCGGGAGCAAATCCGGTTTGACGTCAGGGTGAGTAGGGAGAGGGTTTTCCTCTCCAGTTTCTGCCGCAAAAAGAGAATGGGAATGAGCACCGTGAGGAGCAGGGGAGCGAGCACGGGCACTCCAGAGGGTCTCACCTCCTTCAGGAAGCAGGCAGCGGGCGCAGGGGAGATGCAGCAGGTGGAGACCATGGAGAGGAAGGAGGTGGTGGAGGCCAGGAGCACGGGCAGGGGAGCCTGGCTGTAGCTGCTGGAGTACTCATAGAGAAACCTGCGGCACAGACGGGATAGGAACACCCAGCGCCTCGGCGCCGGGCCGTCCCGAGCGCTCTCCCCGCGCCGGCTCACCTGTCGGCGAATTCCCGGGGGTCCGTGCGGAAGGAGAGGCAGAGCTCCCGGTCGGAGGGCTGCAGGTAGCGGGGCAGCCCCGGCGGGGCCGGGTGCCGCAGCGCGGCCAGGCACAGCTTGCGCTCCAGCCCCTGCTGCGCGCAGCACTCCGCCGCGCCGGGATGCGCCGGGAAGGGCGAGCCCGCGCTGCAGGATTTCTCCGACAGCGCCGTGGACTGCAGGAGGGACGGCGGGTTACGGCCCTGCCTTCCCTTTACCCGCTAGTTTTTGGGGTCTGTTACCAATTTTTGGGCAGGCTCACCCCGTTGTCGTAGCAGGAGGGGTCAGCGCCGTCGGCGCAGCACGTCTCGGCCAGGGAGACGATTTCCCGCACGAGGCTGCTGATCTCCTCGAAGGTGCCGTTGGAATATTTGCGGCTGTTGGCAACGATGGTCCTGGGAGCAGGGACAGGGAGAGCCAGGTGAGCTTTTATCTTCCATCAGGAATCAGAAAAAAAATAAACGTTTGTTCTGCCCAAATGGGTTTAGCAGTGCCGGCTGTGGTGCAGAGAGAAATTACAGTGTATTCCCTGGAAAACAGCCAGGAAGGAACTGGAAGAGCTTCCAGGCTAGAGGCTGCCACTTACAGGGGACTGTGTGTCAGCTCTGTGAGGATCCTTAATCAATTAGGTACTTAATTGGCTCTGAGGAATTCAACAAGGAATCCAATTTTTCTCCTGCTAAAAGCAATCAGAGCCCAGGGGTTGAATTGCATCTCCCCTTTCTGATGGATTGAATCCATCCGCCCTTTCCCAAGGTTTTTATTTGCTGTTGTCTGCTCTTGCAGCAGGAGGTACCTACATGGTTCTGAAGTTCTCCTTTCCCAGGATCTTGTACTCCTGGCAGACTTTCTCCCGGACATAAGCTTTCCCTGAAAGTGCAGGAGAAGGAGGAATTGTGAGTAGGGAACAAGGAACGCTCTGCCACCACAGGGCACGCTGCTTAATTCACTTGGGCTTTGTTCATTTTTTTCACTCCATTGCTTCTTTTTCCAAGGAGGATTTGGTGGTCCCTGGGGAGATGTTGGCACAGCCGGTCTGGGAGAAGCATCCCTGCTATCCAGGCTGCTGCTCCAGCCCCGCAGCCAGGGAAAGGAGCAGGGAGAAAACCCTCCCTGGAGCTGGGAGAGCTACAGGTAAATCACAGGACGTTTTTGGAGTATGGAATATGTGGGGTTGGGTTTTATGGAAACCAAAAGGGCTCTGGGAGCTCTGGGGCCAGGTCCATGGAGCAGCCAGCAGTGAAAACATTCCCAGCAGCTCTGCCATCCCTGGAAAAGCGCGATCGATTCGTGTCGCAGACCGTGTGGGGCCAGACTTTGGCACCAGCAGGGCAAACACTGATCCCGGCGTTCCCTGGGATTGCAGCGTGGGGCAGGGTCACCTCCCCAAAGCCCAGGGTCAGGACTCTGAGGGTCACATCGCTCCGCTGGGAATGGAGGAGCAGGGTCAAGGCAGGGGGTTCCCAGAAAAGGGGAAGCCATGGAGCAGGCGGGTTTCTTTCCCGGCAGGAATGTCAGCTCCCGGTCCCAACTTGTGGCATTTCTGTTTGCTTGTACAAAGCCAGGTGGGAGAGGTGAGTTTGAGGTGTTTTTTGGCAGGTGGGGATTCCCTGTGGAGCTGAGGAAGCAGCTAAGGGCGGCAGAGCATTGTTCCCACCAGGGGGTGAGTTTTTCGGGAATGGTGCTTGCCAGGGGGTCAGGAAATCCCATTTTAGTCTAGAAAGAGATGGAGCCCATCCCTGTGGCTCTGTCCTCTCCCCCTCCCACCTCCTCCAGCATCACCCCAAAGTGGCATCCTGCATCCCAAACCCTCCTCCCACCCCTTCCCTTCCCTCCCTGGTCCTGCCCAGCGGTTTGCCTGCAGGCTGGGAGAGGGGAGGCCATGGAAAACCGCAGGAACTGCCCCGTGCCTCTCATCCCAGGGCCAGCAAAGCCCCAGGATCATCTCCCTTACCTCGGTGTAACGCCTGTGCAGCGGCCAGGAGCGGCAGCAGCGCCAGAGCCACCCTCATGATGGAGCTGGCTCTCCTCCTCCTGCCGGGAATCCCATCCCCGAGTTTTTATGGAGGCAGGGTCAGCAGCCGGGAGAATGATTAACCCCAGAGGGCAAGCATCCTTGGCCTGCCAGCTGCCAGCCCCTCAGGGATCCAGCCGGTTTAAATCATTAACTTGGAAAAACAGGGATGGGTGGCCGTGAAACCTCGGGATCTGTGAAGGATGCTGGGAGCAACACGAACGGCAGGAGGAGGAAAAGCTCTCCGTGCACCCCCTGAGTGGAAAGCCCTGTGTGTCTGATCCTGACAAAGGGGACACGCTTTTTTTTTGGGATGTCAGCACACCAAAGCCGCTGGTGCTGCTGGGAAAAGCCGGCTGTTATCCTTGGAAGCTCAGCTCCAGGCTGCACCTCAGGTTTCATTCCTGCCACTGCCGGGATGGGGTCTCTGCTTCGCAGCCCCATCCCGGATTTCTGCTGGGAGTGTTGTGGGGTCTCCCTACAGTGCAGCTTTCCCTTTGTCCCTAGAAAAATGACAATTCAACATCTTATCATGTTCTAGGGTCCAAGGAGAAGATCCAGCTGAAGTGATCCTCGCTGTCCTGGGGAACTGATGAGAGGGAAGCACACAGGGAGGGATGGAAATCCAGTTCTGCCGTGAGACCCCTGGCTCCCAAATCCGCCCAGCTTCCCATTCAGCCTTGGGACCAGATGTTCCCTCTCGGACCTCACTCCCTGGGACGCAGACAGAGCTGGTTTTTATGGAAGATCCCAGCTTTTTCTCCCAGGGCTCTGCACTGCAGCTTGGGAACAAATCCTGCCGAGGCAGGAGATAACCAGTCCTGCTCTGGATGGCTGATGTGTGAGAGCTGAAAATAAATAATTGGGGACTCAGGGAATGGCCTGGATGAGCTCTTCCTGCCAAGTTTTCATGCCACGGCCGGGGGGGAGTTGGGGGGAACCCCCCAGGCCGGGCCGCCCCGAGCACACGGTGCCGGTCGGAGCCCTCGGCTCCGCGTCTGCACCGGGCAAACACCGCCGCTGTCCCGGCCCGGCTCCCGCCGCCGGCAGCAGCGGCAGCGTCACACCGGGCCCGGAGCGGCTCCTCCCGCCCGATACCGGTCCCGATCGGGTACCGATACCGATCTCGGTACCGATACCGATCCTGTACCGATACCGATCCGGGCCCAGTACCAATCCGGGCCAGATGCCGATCCCGTGCCCGATGCCGCCTCCATCCTCCCGCGATCCCCCGGCAGCGCTCGGTCCCCGCACCCCCGGCCCCGGTCCCGGCCCCGCCGCAGCGCTCCGGGCTCCGAGCGCTCCCCGCGGGAGCAGCCCCGGGGCCGGGCGCCGGTGCCGAGCGAGGCTCCCGGGACAGCGGCCACCGCCCCCCGGCAGCCTGGGGTCCGCCCCGAGCCCCAAAACTCAGGATTTGGGCTCTCTGCCCAAAGCCCTGGATGAGCTTCCATTCGCACCCCCAGACAGGGCTGGAGTCTGTTTCACAGCCCTGAGGCTGCCCGCGTGGGGCTCACTCCAAGTGGCCTTGGACCCCCTCCAAAAAACACGGAACTTTGTCTCCATTTCTGAGGAGTAAAAAAAAAAACAACCAAAAAAACCAAGCCTGATTTATTTATTTCAGTTCCCTAAACATTCCCAGTATCCCAACGCGGGCCGAAAGCCCCTGGTGCCCCCAAACACGGGGCTCGCTGTGTGTTTCTCAAGCACGAACACGCAGGGCGCTGTGTGAACCCCCAAACACGGGGCTCGGCCTCTCCTTGCAGCTGCCCGGCTCTTCCTCACCTCAGGCGGGTGGAGCCGGCCCGGGGCCTTCCCGGGGATCCCGGTGATCCCGGTGTACCGGGGCAGCGGCGGCGGCCGCGCGGTGGCGCTGCGGGGCTGGCCCCGCCCCCGTTGCGCTGGCCACGCCCACCACGGCCACTGGCCCCGCCCCGCGCAGGCGCGGCGGGCCGCGGCCATGGCGGAGAAGGCGCAGAAGAGGTGAGTCCCCTCCCGCCCCGATCCCTCCCGGTTCCCCCCCGATCCCTCCCGCGACCGCCCCGGGACGCGGTGTCCCCTCCCCCCGTCTCGGCCCAGTCCGTGGGCGGACCGCCGTGACCGCCCCGTCGCTCCCCGCAGCGTGAAGATCGCGCCGGGCGCCGTGGTGTGCGTGGAGAGCGAGATCCGCGGGGACGTGACCATCGGTAAGGGCCTGTCCCGCCCCCGCCGGCCCCTGCTCCCGGCGGGCCCGGGGTGACACCGGGCTGTCCCCGCAGGGCCCAGGACCGTGATCCATCCCAAGGCCCGCATCATCGCCGAGGCGGGGCCCATCGTCATCGGAGAGGGGAACCTGATCGAGGAGCAGGCGCTCATCATCAACGGGTCCGTGCGGCTCCCGGGGGGGCTTAAAAACCACGGGGAGGTAGAGATTTAAAAAAAAAAAAATCACCAGACTTCGTGCTTTTGTGTGCACGTGTGGCACTGTGGCTTGGGGGGAAGCCGCAGCATCAGAGAATTATTAAATATTAAGTGTTTGAAGGGATATCTTCCACTGTCCCAGGTTGCTCCAAAGCCTGTCCAACCTGGCCTTTCGCGACAGCAGAGGGCGGTGTGACCCCGCGCTCCTCGGGGGTCCCGGATCCAGCCGGGGTGGGAAAGGCTCCAGCGACCCTCTGCCCCTTCCCCCGAAGGCTGCTCCTGCTCGGGTTCCTTCCCGAAGGACCCAGAGCGGAGCTGAACCTTGTGCGCTCGTTCCACTGGAGCCTCGGGACTCACCACGCTTCCCAGAAGAGTCCCCAGTTGTTCACAGCTTCCCCTTCTATCCCTGTGCGACACAGTCCAGCGTTGTGTCCCAGCACAGATGGACATCGATGCAGCAGGAATTCCTGTAGGAAAAAGGGAGAGGGGGGAGAGGATCAGCAACTACCACAGAGGAACCCCAGTTTTGGTGAGACAGGACATGGGGCTTTGGGTTGGGACTGGGGGTTTCAAGACAAGGAAGCAGTGCAATATCTGCTGGAGCAAACTGGATTTTCTCCCCAAGTTCAGCTTCATGGCTACAAAAAATCCAAACCTCCCCTTTTTCCGGTTTGTGATTCCAACCTGGCTTCCAGCGCTGCTGGGGAGCTGCAGCTCTTCCCCAAAGCTGAGTCCAAATAAGGGTTGTGAGTATCGTCCCGCCAGAGCTTTTTGTGCAGATGCCTGTGGAGGGGAAAAACAGAGAGATAAAACACATCTCTAAATTCTCCCCTTGCTGAAAATCTTCCCCAAGAGCCAGAGGCTCCAGCAGATTTGGATGACTACATCAGTCCCTGTGCTCTGGGGTCAGATGCCCTTGTAGCCAGACACTTCCCACTCCCCCAAATCCATCTGGTGCAGCTCATTTCCTCCTCCCTGCCGGCCCGAGAGCTTCTGCCCTGCGAATCGCTGCTGCAAACCTGTGGGTGGCCGGGCTGTGTCCCCTGGGCAGCCGCAGGACAGGTGGGCAGCTGTCCCCAGGTCTGTTTGGGCCAAAGGCAGGCGGTCCCCAGCCCGAGGGTCTCGTCATGCTGAGCGCAGCCCTGCGGGAGCACAGCCTCCTTCCCGGGGCTGTGCAGGGCTGGAACCACCCAACACCGAGCTCTGGAAGGAAACGCCAGGCTCAGCAAAAGCCCAGCCTAAGCATGAAGCCTAAATGCAGTTCCTGAGGCTGGGCAGGGAGGGGTTGAGCCCCCAGGTGGGGCTGGTTGGGGTGATGAGCTCCCACTGGTCCTTCCACCGCCCCCAGCCCTACACTGGGTGTCCCCAGCACTGTCCCCTCCTCTGCCTCACGGCCCTGATGCATTCATGTCCCTGGGACTGCGCCCCATGTCCTCAGCCTGGTGTTCTGTATCCTTAACCTTGCGTCCTGTGTCCCCAGGACTGTGTCCCCTCTTGCCCAGTCCTGTCCTACACCCCCAGCCCGTGTCCCATGTCCCTGAGACTGTGTCCACCTCCCCGTTCTTGTGCCCTGTGTCCCCAATCTCTTATCCGGTATCCCCAACCCCATGTCCTAGACCGCGTTCCGTGTCTCCAGTATTGTCCTGCATTCCCAACTCCGTGTCCTGTGGCCCCAGCCTCGTGTCTTCTGTTCCCGGCACTGTGTCCCCTGTCCCCAGCCCGGCGTCCCGCCTTCCCACCTCCCGTATCCCTGCGCTCCTCCATCCCCCCGCGGCCCGGTCCGCCCCCCCAGCGCCGCCCGCCCGGACGCGGCTGCCGCCGGCGGGACGAGGAGCCTGGCCGCTCGCACCATGAGCAGCGTCCCCGCCGACAGGGAGGGCGGCCCCGCCGACACCAGCCTGCCCGAGGAGGAGGTACCGGGGGGACACACACACACCCCGGGGGTTTGGGGCGGAGGGGGTCCGGCTTCCCCCTCCCCCGCGGGATGGGGGGTCCGCGCCGCGGGGCTCCCGGTACCCGGGGCTGCCGCGGGGGGAACAGGGACGAGCGGCGGGAGCGCATCCCCGGGACGCTCCCATTCTCCCGCATCCCCCTGGGGCTCGCCGCAAACGCCGCTCCGCCTCGCCGGAGGGAACCTGTGGGCGCGGGGAGCCCCACGCGAGACACGGATATCCCCGGGGGGCGTGGGGGATAAAGCAGGCTGCCCCCGGACCCGGTGCTGCCGGTGCCCGTGGGTACCGTGCAGCCAGCGGCCGCGCATCTCTTTCGCACGGGTCTCACCCCCAAAAATGCCCGAAACGCTCCCATCCCCACGGGAGACCAACCCCACACCCCGCCACGGTGAGAGCTGGTTTTCTTCGTTCCAGCCGCAAAGTTCCTGGTTTTGCCCGTGACCTTGAGATGGGAATTTGGACTTTGTGAGGCTGAGAGCGGGAAGATTCCTGTCTGAGATCGCCTCCTCCTCCTTAGCCTCCACCCGGCCGGCTGCTCCAGCAGGTCCCTGCTGGGCTCCCCGCTCGGTGGCCAGCGCTGGGATCAATCCCCGCAGCTCCACCGCCCGCTGCCTGCCTTCATTTGCTTATTCCAGAGGCAGGTCTGGCTTCAAACTTCCCAAAGTTTCCTAAAAAACGGGGATTTCTTTCCCCTGGCGGCCTTGCGGGGTGTGTGGGGGATGTGGCTGCGGCTCTGTTGGGCACGGCGGTGGGTGACACCCATGGAGGCCTGTTGCCTTTTCCAAAAGCATGGAAAGGGCAGCCCTCGCTCCGCTCCCGGGCGGATCCGGAGAGCCCGGGGCTGGCTGTTGCACTGCTGATCCTTGGGGACCCCTGACCCGGTGATGCCGGACATGGGGAACACCCCGAGGGGACGGCTGGGAGGTGCCAGGGACACGCGAGGTGGGCGATGCCCGCTCCTGACTGCAAGCCGCGCTGCTCCGGTGCCAGGCAGGTATTTTCCCTGCAGGACTTGTTCCAGCCCAGGCTGGAGGAGCCGGTGCTGCCTATTTGCTCAAGCGCAGGGAAAGGGGTTGCCCAGCTACTGTGCCTCTCCTCCCCCCTCCCAGGGCTTGTCTTCCCTCAGAAGAGAAGGAGAAGCAGCCCCCATCCCGGGGAGGTCACTCAGGGTGGCTGCCGGTTGGGAAAAGCCCCCACTTCATGCCCGCTCCTCCCTGGCACCCCAGGTGGCTTCCCCGTCCCTCTCGGCTGTCCCCCCGGGAAGGACCCCCCCGTGCAGGGGAGCTGTGGGCCAGGGGCTTCCCCACGGAGGAGCCGGAACAATTTGGGAAGGCGGTCACGTCACTTCGGCCGGGCGAGAACGGCATGTAAAAGGCTCGGCGGAGGCCTTATTTGGTAGCGGAGCGGCTGCGGAGAGCCCGGCTCGTGGCCCTCGTCCCCATCCCATGCCAGATCCCTCATCCCGGGGGAACCGTGCCACGGGGAGGGGACCCCAGGGATGCTTCCTAGGGGGAATGTGCCCAGCGAGTGGATAAAATTTACCCCCGTGGCCCCTGTGTGGCATCCCCCCCGTGCTCCTGCTTCCTTTCCTCCTTGAAGCGCGGGGTCCGGAGGGTTTGGGAGCAAGCTCCGGGCGGGACAGGGACGAGTGTGACCCGTTCCTGATCCCGCCGCTCCTCCGCTCTGTTGCAATCCCCCATCTGCTCCCTTGGCTGCTCACTGCCTTTTCCTCTGCCGCTTCCTCGTTCCAGCCCCGGCAGCTCTGGACTCGCTTTTCCCCAAGGGCTGTTCCTCTCCTCCCGTCCTTCACCGGACGTGAGAGAACCGTGATTTTCCAGCAAAGCCGCTGCGGGTGGCGAGGCCGGAGATCGGTGCCGGTCCTCCCGCATCCCCCGGCATCCCTCGGCCCCAGCCTTGTTTATGTCGGGGAGTTTTGCGGGCTGAAGGCATGCGTACACACAGCCCGGGAATCTAAACCCAGCCGAGGAAGACGCTCCATTAGCCAAGAGACTATTTATGCCAGGACTAATCCCGGCGGGGCGGGAATGCACCCCGCCGCGGGGGAGGCAGCACCCCGCTTTGCCGGGAATGGGAGGGGAAGCCCTGCTCCATGGCAGCTCCGTGGCATCGCCCTCCCGCTGCCACCGCCGGGATCCGGTGCCTCCCCGGCGGCGGGCAGTCAAGCGGATAATCGGCTGGTGGAGAATTAAAGCGAGCCCCGCTGGAAGGGGCGCACGGACGGACGAGGGATGGGAGCTGGGCTGAAGGAGGCGATTAAATGCCTCGTGGATGAATCACCCGGACGCCTCCCCGCCTCCCCACGGCCTGTTAACGTTTACCGGGGCACGGCACGGCACGGCAGGGGACTGGGACCGTGCTGGCAGGGCACCATGGATCCCTCTGGGCACCGCTGTGTCATGGGGGTCCAAGCCAAGCAAATCCCCCCTAGTGCCTCCTTACCTGCAGGAGATAAACCTGGCTTGTGGCTTCATGTGAGGAAGAGGAGGAGGAGGGCTGCTGGCGCTCCATCACAGAGCTCACCATGCTGGGGTCATCCTTGATCCATGCTCTGGAGACCTCAGTGATCTCCTGGCCCAGATCTTTGCCTCTCCTTGCATGTCCTCAGCCATGACCATCTCAGCAAATCTCCACAGATCCTTTCCAGCATCCCTTCAACTGGCCCAAGAGGAGATGCAGGATTTCGGGGCCAACAGACTGGGATGGTGGGATGTAAAGGTGAGAGGGACAGGCCAGAAGGGGGATGGAGAAGATTTCCAAGGAAGAGGAGAGTAGTACAGATGAAGAGCAGATGTCCTGCAGGGAAAACAAAAAGTCAGGAGGGGACACGCTAGGAGTGAGGCAACACAGGTAGGATCCAACAGCCCTGGGAAATTTGGGAGCTGTGGGGTGCAGCAGCAGGAGCAGAGGAGAACTGTGGAAAGGGACTTGGAGCAGTCCCATAGCTGCCATCCCCATGGAAGGAAGTCAAGGTGGTCACCTTTGAGCTCCTCCTGGAGCAAACATTGGCACTTATAACTTTTAAAAAATCTTTGGTTTCACCCCAAATTTCAAGAAGAAGGAGAGATGGAGAAATGCTCCACCAAATAGAAACTGAAAGATGTTAGTACAGCAGAAATGAAACAGCTCAGGCTGTCCAAAAATACTGTGGGGTTTAGGCTGAGGGAATCCCATGCTCCAGTGCCCTTTAATCCTTGCTCAAGA